TGTAGTTTTAATTTGCATTTCTCTGATAATTAGTGATGTGGAGCATCTTTTCATGTGTCTGTTGGCCATCTGTATTTCTTTTTTGGAGAACTGTCTGTTCAGTTCCTGTGCCCATTTTTTAAGTGGATTGTTTGTTTTTTGTTTGTTGAGGCATGTAAGCTCTTTATATATTTTGGACATCAAGCCTTTATTGGATCTGTCGTTTATAAATATATTCTCCCATACTGTAGGGTTCCTTTTTGTTCTATTGATGGTGTCTTTTGCTGTACAGAAGCTTTTCAGCTTGATATAGTTCCACTTGTTCATTTTTGCTATTGTTTTCCTTGCCTGGGGAGATATGTTCAAGAAGAAGTCACTCATGTTTATGTCTAAGAGGTTTTTGCCTATGTTTTTTTCCAAGAGTTTAATGGTTTCATGACTTACATTCAGGTCTTTGATTCATTTTGAGTTTACTTTTGTATATGGGGTTAGACAATGGTCCAGTTTCATTCTCCTACATATAGCTGTCCAGTTTTGCCAGCACCATCTGTTGAAGAGACTGTCATTTTGCCATTGTATGTCCATGGCTCCTTTATCAAATATTAATCGACCATATATGTCTGGGTTAATGTCTGGAGTCTCTAGTCTGTTCCACTGGTCTGTGGCTCTGTTCTTGTGCCAGTACCAATTGTCTTGATTATTATGGCTTTATAGTAGAGCTTGAAGTTGGGGAGTGAGACCCCCCCTACTTTATTCTTCTTTTTCAGGATTGCTTTGGCTATTCGGGGGGGTTGCAAATATTTTATCTGTTTGGTGGCTTATCTTCAGCCTCTTCACATGAACTTTCACACGACATTTTTAAGTTTGTTGAAGTTCAATATATCAATCTTTCCGTTTATGTGTCATGCATTTGGTGTCAAGTCTAAGAATTCTTTGCCTTATTACAGATTCTGGAAATTTTCTCCTAAAAGTTTTATTTATATTTTACATTTAAGACTATGATCCATTTTGAGTTAGTTTTGTATAGGATATGAGACTTTGGTCTGTCTTTTTTTTTTTGTCTATTGGTGTCCAATTGCTCCAATACCATTTGTTGAAAAGGTTACCTTTTTTCCACTGAATTGATTTTGCACCTTTGTGAGAAAATCAGTTGAGCATATTTGTGTGGGTCCATTTCAGAGTCCTCTATTCTGTCTGATTGATCATTGGAGCTATCCCTCCACCAATAGTAAATCTTTATATTGGCTAGAGTGATTCTTGATGTGCTTTATTCTTCTTTGTCAAGATTGTCTTAGCTCCTCTGGGACCTATGATTTATAATAAGGTGGAAGGTTCCAGCTGGCTATGTATACAAAAAGCCTTGGGTGGGCTTTTGATAGGAATTGCATTGAACTTATAGATCAATTTGGGGACAAGTGACATCGTTACTATGCTGAGTATCTTAATCTATGAATGCAGGATTTTTCTCCATTTAGTTAGTTATTCTTTCATCAGCAGTTTGTAATTTTCAGCATACAGGTCCTATCCATGTGCTGTTATGTGTATACATAAGTATTTTGTTTTATTTGGGGTAATTGAAATAGTATTATGCTTTTAATTTTGAAAGTGTATGCTTTTGATTTTGACGACAAACTTAAAAGCTCATTATTAGTATATAGGAATACAATTGATTTTTATGTTGATCTTATATCTTGAGATCTTACCAAACTCATTAATTTCAGATTTGTATAGATTCTATTGGATTTTCCATGTAGGTAACCATGTCATATGCAAAGAGAGATAGTTATACTTATTCCTTTCCAATCTGTGCCTTTTTTTTCTTTTCTTACCTCATTGTAGTGGCTACAATTTCTAGTATTTGTTGAATAAGAGCAGAGAGAGAAGACACCCTTGCCTTGTTCTCATTCTTAAGGGAACTGCTGTAGTCTCAGCATTTATGGAATGCTTTATAGGTACTCAGTAAGTACTTGCATAATGAATGATTGGAACAAAGAGCCATGGCTTGGGTGGGAGTGGGGATGTGGTGCAGGGGGTGGAAGGTTCCAGCTGGAAACTCCACGGTGAGCTGATGCTGACATCTCCAGGTGCAGCTGGGCTCTGGACTCAGAGCCTAGCCAGTACTGAGGCACAGGTGGGGAAGGGAGGTCTCAGGGACTGGGGAGGAAGATGACAAAAACAGCAGACCGTTTGGACGCCTATCACCATCTGTAGTATTTGTCCTCCCTCCTTCCATTCTCTCTTCTTTCCCTTCTTTCTTTCCTTTCATGAAATCAGAAAAGTTTATGGGCAGAAGTGATCAGAAAAGCTTCACAGAAGAGGTAAGACTTAACTCAGATTAAAAAGACTGTCTTTACAAGTAGTGATTTTACAGCATCTTACTACGCAGATGGACAGTGACTGTGAAGGGGTATGTGGGGGGGACTTGGTGAAGAGGGGAGCCTAGTAAACATAATGTTCTTCATGTAATTGTAGATTAATGATACCAAAATAAATAAATAAATAAATAAAATTTAAAAAATAAAAATAAATAAAATAAAATGGTAAATATGTGTATAAACCTAATGTTTCAATGGACTTAAAAATGTATCACAACAGGAAGACCTAAATAAATGGAGAGATATACTATGAAAAAAAAAATTAAAAAGACCATCTTTAAGTCACATTTCCTTTCCAAGCCAACAGGGTTGGGACCAGATGTGGAAATATATTTCTCATTGCTTTTTATAAGTTGCCTTTTCTGTTTTCTTTGTTTTCCTCCACTAGCATGAATAACTCAGATCTGGCTCTTTTTAGTTGTAATTCTTGTTCTAAGACTCACCTTTATTAGTAAATATGTTTGAGGCTAAAAATATTATTTCTTCTTCCCAGGATGAAGTAAACCAGATCATGGAAACCAATTTGTGGCTACGCCACGTATGTATCTATGTCCTGTGTCCTTCTCTTGGACGTGTGCTCCTGTGTGCCCACCTAACAGTGTCTAACAGATAAATTCCACTTGCATTCCCTCCTTACACCTCCAGCTTATGATAGAGCATCAAATATCATCTATCTCTTAGCCTAAAGCCCAGCTCTGGTAATAGCTGGCTTGATGCGAGCTTCATGGTGCAAAAACTTAGTGACAAAGTTCTCTGAGACTTTGTCCTTTCTAGTTTGGGCTCTCACCCTAGTTTTACCTGTAACTTGAGCCCCAGAGTCAGGTGCTTGCCAGTTCTTTGATCCTGCTGCACAGAGCCTAGAGAAGTCAGTAGCTGGCCTGGAGCATGTGGTTTCATCGGTCGCACAGTCTCATTCTCCCTTCCTGTCCTAATCCCTTACACATGTTTTGTAGCAAACCCATCATCATGCACTTGAACTCTTTTTTTAATGTTAGAAACAAGTCTTTGCTCCATTGTGGCTATACTCAGTGAACATGGAAGTTGGGCCTATAGCTTTGGCCAGCTAACTGATAATCAATAGGTAATTATCTAGTATCTATTAGATAATTTATATTTGCCAAAGACAGCTCACCCCTCTTCCTCATGGATTTTAATCTTCCAACTAGTGATAGAAGCCAAAGTACTTCAAACAGGAACATATTTTTTCCCCCAAAGCTACAGAACCAATGGAGAAATAACATTGGGAGAAAGTTAAGTAAGAAAATTCTTCAAAAGCAGACTTGTATTTCCTTTAGATCTGGAACGATTATAAATTGCGCTGGGACCCAGTGGACTATGGCGGCATCGAGACCCTTCGTGTTCCTGTGGACAGGATCTGGAAGCCTGACATTGTCCTCTATAACAAGTATGGGTGTCTGGTGGCCAGTGTCGCCCAGGGCTGCCTTTGGCACATGCTGACCGTCGCAAAGTGGGTGTTACTAACCGGGTGGGGTTTGCTTTGCAGCGCCGTCGGCGACTTCCAAGCTGAAGGCAAGACAAAAGCTCTTCTTCAACACGATGGCACGATCACCTGGAGGCCCCCGGCTGTTTTCAAGAGCTCCTGCCCTATGGATATCACTTTCTTCCCTTTTGATCATCAAAATTGTTCCCTGAAATTTGGTTCCTGGACATATGACAAAGCTGAAATTGACCTTCTCATCATTGGCTCTAAAGTGGATATGAATGACTTTTGGGAAAACAGCGAGTGGGAAATTGTTGACGCTTCGGGCTACAAGCATGACATAAAATACAACTGCTGTGAAGAGATATACACAGACATAACCTACTCCTTTTACATCAGAAGACTGCCGATGTTTTACACCATTAATCTGATAATCCCCTGTCTATTTATTTCATTTCTGACCGTGCTGGTCTTTTACCTTCCTTCCGACTGCGGTGAAAAGGTGACCCTCTGCGTGTCGGTTCTGCTCTCCCTGACCGTGTTCCTGCTGGTGATCACGGAGACCGTCCCGTCCACGTCCCTCGCGATCCCGCTGGTGGGCGAGTACCTCCTGTTCACCACGATCCTTGCCACCCTGTCCATCGTGGGGACTGTGTTTGTGTTGAACGTACACTATCGCACTCCGGCCACACACACCATGCCACAGTGGGTGAAGGTGGGCTTCCTCCAGCGGTTCCCCCAGGTCCTGAGGAGGAGGGGGCCTCTGGACGAGGCGAGGGAGACAAGTTCAGGTGAAAACCCGAAGGACACTCCCAGCCGGCCCACCAGAGTCAAGTTGGGTCCCCGCAGAGAGCCCAAACTTCTTCAAGAACGCTGCCGCTGTGGTCAGTCAGGTGAGCTTGCCACCAGCAAGAGACGATTAAGTCGTCGGCCTTTACAGCGGAGGGCTGGAAATTCAGAGCACTCGCCCGAAGTTGAAGATGTAATCAGCAGTGTTCAGTTCATAGCAGAAAGCATGACCAGCCAGAATGCCAGGAAGGAGGTAAGTGCTCGTCTCCTCCAGCCTATCGTCCGGAGGTGCTGCGCGGATGTGGGCAGAGCTCCGTGTGAGCTCCGTTTGTTTGCATAGGGGGTAGGGCAGCATCGCTCTGACAGCCAGCTCAGTGACCGTGCAGCTGTGAGTGAACTGGCCTGGGGGTGCGCCCGTAAGGCATGACCTCAGAGCAAATCTCCACTTTCAGAAAGGTCAGCTCAAGTGAAACCTGTTGCAGTAAACATTCAGGGCACCCTTGGTCGATTCACCCAAGAGCCCCTGCATAGAAAACAGTAGACAGAAGGGTGGAAAGGGCACAGCTGCCCCCACGCCTCCCGCGGAAGGAGGCGTGACTGCAGTCTGAGAGCGGAGGGTACCGGGTAGGTGGGCGTCCTCCGCAGCTCCACCCGCACTTTTTCCACTTGAGGGGTATTTAGGCGCAGATTGAATGAGCCTCAGGGATACGTTTCGCACGGACACATTCGGAGTCTAATGTCCAGAGTCCAGCTGCAGCAGTGCAGCCCTCCCCCACCCCCCGAAGTGGGAGCTTGAGCAGATAGCGCCACTTCCCTATGTCAGGACGAGGAGCGGAGGGTCCTGAGGGCTCGGCCAGGTGTCTGGTTTGACCCCACGCTGCAGCTGCCAGCACCCGTGTCTCCTAGCGGAAGGGCGCTGCGAAGCCTGGAGTCTGCCGCGGTGGTGCAGGGACAGCACAGCATACCACACAGGTGGGCGTGGGAGGGAAGTGCATTAAGGGACAGGTGAGCCCAGTGCTCACTTTCTTGGGGACACCTCCGTACAACCTAGACAGCTGTGGGTTAACTTAATCCCTACCAGTTGGGGTGCTCATGACACAACCACAGAGCCTTTGACAGAAATTGGAGGTCAGGAATTGGAAGGACATGAGAAATGCAATGAGCTCTCCATAGCCAGCACGGCTTTGAAGCCAGGAGGGCTTCCTAGGCCTGTAAGTGGACCTCCATCGTACTCACATCCACACACCCCCACTCCCCAACCTCAGGCCCATTGCCCGACGTGCCAATGACAAGAGCTGAGCTGTCAGAGCAGCTGTTTCTCAGCAGTTATTCTTGCAGTCAGGGAAAGTCCTTTGTGGCCCAGGGAATCCCGCTTACTCTGCACCAGCCACACGGGGCACCTTCTTCAGACAAAACAGAATTGCCTCTGTAATTATATAGGAGTCACCGGTTAACCTGACGAATTCCCCTGCTGGCTTTAAAAATTACCAGAGAGATCTCTGAAAAGGAAGTAGCATATTTATGAAGGAGTGCATTTCCCATGGTTTTGGTTTTTAAAAACTGCTTTGCCGTTGTTTGCCTTTCAGGTAGAAGACGACTGGAAGTACGTGGCCATGGTGGTGGACAGAGTATTTCTTTGGGTATTCATAGTCCTCTGTGTGCTTGGGACTGCAGGGCTTTTTGTACAGCCACTATTGGGGAACACAGGAAAATCTTAAGGGTGTATTTTCCTTGTAGCTTCAGCAGCTTATGGGTGACACATTTGTTCTGTGTTCCCTACAACAAGGAGAGGGACCTAAAACTTTCCACCCAAGCCTCCCATCTACTAAAGCTGATGGTTAGGTGGAAAAGAGGACTTTATTGTCAATTAGGAGCCCGAGTGCTCTCCTTGGTAGCACAGAGGAGTGTTTTAAGATGTTTTATAATACTGGAGCCTGGAGCTGGCAGCACCATAGGCTACATGCTTGGCTTCCATGGATGTGACTGACCCATAATACAAGAAACCACGTGACCAATGCCAAGCTGTGCTAAAAGGTTCTGTCATCCCTTCAGTATATGCTGCTTATCATTATGTCAGATGCCAGACATGAAACTCTGGAATTTGGACCTTGCTGATGTTTGTAATGCTTGTGAATTTGTGCGCTTGCTTTCTTGCACATGTCTGTGATGGAGCTCACACACTTCAGCATTATTTGACACATTGATCAGCAAGAAGTAATAGCAGGTAGAGTATCTCAACAGGTTGTGTGTGATGAGGACCCATCTGGCAAGATACCTGAGTGGTAACCAGCACTGCAAGGGTAACAGAAACAGGTTCTGTCCCACCGTGGGAAGCAGAATCGAGGCTTCTCAAGAGCTAAAAATAGAAGTGCCATACCACCCAGCAATTCCACTTCTGGGAATTTACCTGAAGAAAACAAACTCACTGATTTGTTAAGATGTATGCACTCCTGTGTTTATAACAGCATTATTCACAATAGCCAAGATACAGAAGCAACCAAAGTGTCCATCAATAAATGAACGGATGGAGAAGAAACGGCACTCTACACAATGGAATACTATGCAGACACACAAAGGAGCTAAATCTTGCCATTTGCAACAACATGGATGGATCTAGAAGGCATTATGCTGAGTGAAATAAACCAGGAGAAACACAAATACCATGATTTCACTTACATGTGGATTCTAAAAAAACAAAACAAATGAATAAGCAAACAAATCAGCAAAACAGAAATAGATTCATAGATGCAGAAAAGAGACTGGTGGTGGCCATGAGGGTTGAAGAGGGAATGGGGGAAATAGGGGAAGGGAATAAAGAGGTATGAAATCCCAATTATAAAATAAATCAATCACAGCAATGGAAGTACTGCATAGGGAATATTGTCAATAATATTGTAATTTCTTTATATGGTGATAGATGGTAACCACTTACTGTGGTGAGCATTTTGTAATGTGGATGTAATTGTTGAATTACTCTGTTGTACCTTGAAACCAATATAATATTGTATATTAACTATACTTCAGTAAAAAAAGAAAAAGAAATAGATGCTGTCCCCAAGCACTTACAGATTTTTAGGAGAAGTCATACACACACTGATCTCCAGGACCAGGTCTCACAGGGGCCGTAACTAGAGCCATCAGAGCAGGGGGATGGAGGTGGTGTGGCCAGGCAAGCCTGGAGCAGCCTCTTTGGGGTCCAAAAGGTGTCTTTTCTCCTCAACAGTTTCCTTTTGTTCAGTGTAGCTGAGACTAAAAATAAAAGTATTCCTTCTATAAGCAGTTGTGACTTTGTGCCTTTTGGAGCAATTCTTTTTCTGAGAGAGAACCTTGGGAATTCTGTTTTATTCCACTCTTAAGTATTATTTTCTTATTTTTTGTATAAACACTATTTATTATAATTTGAAAGATTTATTTAAAGCAGAAAGAAATAAATCTATCCTAACAAGGGGACTGATTTCACTTTGCCTTTTCCCTTCCAGTCCTTTTCTCTCTATATATAATTTTACCTCTCAATTTTGTATTTTGCTGTTTTCTCAGAACACCATGTCAACAGCATTTCTGCATGATGTCACCTAGTGTTGAAGTATAATTTTTATGACTGCGTAGTGTCTATTGTGTTGCTACACCATAACTTGCATTGCCACCTGTTAGTTCTTGTTTATCTCATACTGGGGCATAAGGCATACTGGGGCACACCAGACAGAGGACTCGAATTTGAATTCCCTCTTGTATTTGTGACTGTAGTACCTATATCTTATCCTTCTGTCCAGAAAGAGGGTTGGCTGCTATTTGATACTTTTTTTTACTATTAAACCAAATCAATATTTAATATCATTCTTTTAAAAATGTCAATTATGTTAAAATACATATAATAAAGTTCAGCGTCTTAACCATTTTGAAGTGTATAGTTTAGTAATGTTAAGCCATACACAATGGTATAACCATCACCACCACCACCCATAAACTTTTTTCATCTTGCAAAACTGAAACTCCGCACCCATTAACCAACAGCTCCCCATGCCCCCTCCCTCAGCCCCTGGTACACACCCTTCTACTTTGTCTCCATAAATTTGACAACTTTAGGTACCTTATATAAGTGGAATCAAACAGTATTTGTCTATGTGCAACTGACATGTTTCACCAAGTATAATGTCTTCAAGATTTGTCCATGTTGTAGCTTATGTAAGAATTTCTTTGCATTTTAAGGCTGAAGAATATTGCAGCATATGTATAGACCTTGTTTTATTCATCCATCAACAGACACTTGGGTTGTTTCTGCTTTTTTGGATATTGTAAATAATGCTGCTATGAATATGAGAGTACAAGTATCTCTTTGAGTCTCAGCTTTCAATTCATTTGGGTATATGCCCAGAAGAGGGATTGTGGGGTTATATGGTAGTTCTGTTCTTAACTTCTTGAAGAGCTGCCATGTAGTTTTTCTCAGAAGCTGTTCCAGTTTACATTCCTTCCAGCAGTGCACAGGGGCTCCACTTTCTCCACATCCCTGCCAACACTTGTCATTTTCTGGGTTTTTTTTGGACAGCAGCTATCCTTATGTGTGTGAGGTCATACCTCCTTGCGGTTTGGATATGGATTTCCCTAATGATCAGTAATGCTGAACATCTTTTCATGTGCTTGTTGGACATTTGTATGTCTTCTCTGGAGAAATGTGTGTATTCAAGTTCTTCGCCCTTTTAAAAAGCAGGTTACTTGTTTTTTGTTGTTGTTGAGTAGTAGGAGTTCTTTTTTTTTTATTTATCAGATAGTTTTCTTAATGTCAACTGGGATTGAGATGAGTTACTCAGATAATATCTGAACTAGAATAGAAGGTTTCTGATTACTAATTTAGAGAATATTTTTGTTTTTCTTTTCCCACTGACACTATGCCAACCTTCTTTATAGAATCCTGAGTGTTGTAAATAGTAGAGAGACCTATGATACCCTTGTATTCCAAGAAACCCTAAAATTGAAAGGCACAATTTGATAACATGTTAATCTAAGGAGAGGTCTAATTTTTTTTTTGAGAGGGCTTTCTCATATTTATTGATCAAATGGTTGTTAACAACAATAAAATTCTGTATAGGGGGGTCAATGCTCAATGCGCAATCATTAATCCACCTCAAGCCTAATTCTCGTCAGTCTCCAATCTCCTGAAGCATAACGAACAAGTTCTTACATGGTGACCAGTACAAGGGCAGTCATCACAGAAACTTTCGGTTTTGATCACGCATTATGAACTATAAACAATCAGGTCAAATATGAATATTTGTTTGATTTTTATATATGTGGATCCCACATTTCTCCATTTATTATTATTATTATTATTATTA